CATCAATATTATTTTTTTCTTTTGTATCTCATGAATTTTTTTTATAAAAATAATTCGTAAATTATTTTAATAGCATAGTCAGACAACTTTAGAATCTTATAAACAATTGTTTTTTAATAGTAATAATATATATATATATATATATATATAATTGCTAGCATTTAATTTTCCTATTTAATAAAACCTCTAAAATTTTTCCCCTATTTTCGATTACAAAATTTATCATTAATATTTTTTACTTCTCACATTAATACATCCTATTAAGTGTAATCATGTATTTTCTTTTATATTATAAAATAGTTATTGTTAATACCAACTAATAATAATTCACAATAAATATAAATTACATAATGAAAAACAATTGTTCAAGTTATTTATATTAACATCATTATTATCTTTTTCTTTTGTATCTCATGAAAAAAATTTCCTTAAAAACAATTAGTAAATTATTTTAATAGCATAGTCAAACAACTTTAATAGCTTATAAACAATTGTTTTTTAATAAAAATAATAATAATAATAATAATAATAAAATAGAAAGAATAATAATAATCAAACTGTTAATTATCTAATGGTAATAAATAATTATATTGTTCATAATAATAAAATCGTTAATTTATTTTTCCAAATGATCAATGTTTTGAAAACGTAATATGTTCATTATTTAGAATTTTAATATTAATTTCTCAAATATTACTTATAATATTTTATGTATATATGTGCATGTGCACAGAGTATCTACTAGTTTATTCCGTATTTTTACATATAATATCGATTACTGAGTAAAATCTAGGAAAAGTATTGGTCAATAAATAAACAAAATAAAAAAATAAGAAGAGAAGTTAATCATTAACTTTAAAAAAAAAAAAGGTAAACTTGAAATTGATAGTCTTATCTCTATCGTTCCGGAAAAAAAAAAAAAAAGAAATTGATAGTCTTATCTATATCAATTATTTTGGAATTTTTTTTAAATATATGCATTAATTGCTTCTTTTTACACGTTTTCAAATATGATCAAATAATTACTTAAATAAATTTATTAATATTTGCACTATTTCTATTGATATTTATTATAATAAATTACAAGTTGATTTTCGTGATTCATGTTGATAATATTTTGGTCAAGATAAATATTATTCTATTAAATCATAGAGGGGATCGAGTTTTTCGGATTTTCTAAATCAAAGTTGTTTAATAAGTATACAAATTAGATTCTAAAAAAACATGTGTATATTTTGTAAAATATTTATACACTATTTAATATTAAATTTATTTACATATTTTAAACTGATTACATAAATAAATAATACCAACGTGCATTAAAAATTTTTTACATAAAAATAAAAAGAAGACGTACAACTTCTACAACTTTACAAATAATAATGGCATTATATGACATAAAGTGTATAATAAAATAATAACTAAGTATTATATGGTGAACAAGAATAAGTAAAATTGTTATTCTCTCTTATATCAAGAAATAAATATATATACTAAAATTAAATTTAAATTAGGATAAATGTGTTAGTGAAATAATATATTAATTATTTTAATATTTTTACCAAAAAAAAAATTAACGTTGATTAAAAGAGTGCAAAATATATTATAACCTTATTGTTTATTATACTTAACGCTAATTAAAAGATAAAAAATAGATGATAATCTTATTACTTTATTTACTTAAACGCACAAAGCATGTGAAAATAACTCATTTAATATTTCTGTCGCGTGCATCGCACGGGGTACATACTAGTCTATATATATAGAGAGAACATATTTACCAAATATAATAACAAAAAAGTCAATCAACATTTATTGTTTTATATGTTTGGCATTCTTTTAGTTTTCTTTTTAAATATTCTCAAAAAATTGATATGTCATATATGCTTCCTAAATTCATGAGTTTTGGGGATTTAATTTAGATAAATTCCGACTGATGCTTACAATTTTGCAAAAGTCAAATTCATTTTCAATTTTTATGAAAAAAAAAATTGATTACCATATAATCCAGAATTTCAAATTAGGCAAAATACTATCACACATATTTTTTCCTAATTGCAACACATCAATTGTTTATAAAAAAAATCAGATTGCATAGAAAACGGGTAAATTGAGGTCAAATTCGGCATGACAATTTCGTAATAGTGAAAATTCTCTCATTTTTATAGACACTATTATATATTTGATGTTTTAAAAAAAAAATATGCAACTAGCATTGAATATGATTAAAAATAACATTCTCGCATTTTTTTAAAAGATTTGATTCTTATTTGATCAACTCTTATATATATCACGACTCACAGTATAAGAAAGCAGAGGTGATCAGGGGCCACCTGGCTGTCGGCCTGGCACGGACCTAGCCCGGTCAAGTCTGTTGACCAAGAGTCCAGGCCCAAATTGGATTTTAACCGAGCCGATCCAGGGCCTCTTTTTTTTTTTTACCTTGACTCGGCCGGGCCAACCAAGGAAAATCACATGCTTTGGCTTTTTTTTATTATTTTTTCTTTTTTT